ATCTCCCAGATCCAGTGGCACTGTGCGAACTGCGCCCAGAACCAGCCGAGGGCTGTGCCAGGCAAAAGGCAATACTGGGCCGGAGCAGAGCGGTCGTAAATGCAGGGGGGGGCGTAACTCAAGGATTGCCTGTAATAGTATATTTGAAATACAGGGCATTACACTTTTCTCCTGGAGGTTTTGTTAGAATTCATCAGGAAATTCCTGCAAACTGCTTTGACTACAGCCAGAGACACTGTGGACCAGTGCAGCAAACTGGTACTTAGGAGATCTAGTTTCAATTTCAAGCTCAGCCAGTGGCCTGCTGAGTGACACTGAAAAAGTTGCCAAGAACAGTTTCTCCATCTGTAAAGCAGAAATAATGGTACTACCTGCTTTGAAAAGCATTTCAAGAGCTACAAACAACAAGTTCAATGTAAGAGTTAGGTATTGTTATCGTTTGTTTTAATACTTCATCAAGTATTGAAATGCAGCTCTCAGCAGTATGATGGGAAACGCAATCTATGGAATAGCACACAGCCACAGCAATATGTCACAGTACGTCAGGACATGAAGTACAGAAGGTTGACTGTTGGGGAAGGTTTCCAGATAAAAGGTGTGTTATACATATTTTCATTAAGATTCTCCCTTACAATGTATGTATTTTAGTGCTTTGTCAACTTTAATATCAGTCCTTTAAAGGTGTAATTTCAAAACCTTAAGATCAACTTTAGCAGTGAATGTGGAAAACTATATGCTGTAATTATAGAAGCTTCATTTTTCACATTAGATATCATCTATGTAAAAGTTTCTCAAATGGAATCCAAGTGTGCCCACTTTATTTAAAATTTCATTTGCATGCCTATGTTTACAATTTGCTTCTACTATCAGGATTTAGAATCAGAGCGATCTTATTTCCACTATACCTCTACGTCAAACTGTACCTTGATCAGCCATAAGTAAATTGAATGAAGCAGTACAAGAAGCTGTGACAGAGCTATATTAAAATATGTTATATGCCTGCTATTTTAAAAGTCTGAATTAAAAATGTACTGTCAGGATTACTCATGTAAACAAACTGACCAACCCTTTTCTTTAAAAGTACCAATAATTACAAGTTGGACCTCCCTGGCCAGGCACCGTTCAGGACCTGACCGGTCCCGAATGAGAGAATTTGCCAAACCAGGGAAGGTGTCCCCTGCCACCTACCCAGAGCCAGCTGGCCTTCTGCCTCTCAGTCCCTCTACTCCCTCCCCAGCCAGGCTGTCTGTCATACTGTCACTGCCTCCCAGCCCCAGGCTGCCATGTGCAGCTGGGGTTCTCTGGCCCTGGCACTGGCCTCACACCATCGCAGATGACCAGATTTCCCTGGCTTTGCACTGCTGTAGGCAGCTAAACTCTACAGCCCCCAGCTCCACACTGCAGTGGGTGGCTGGGCTTCTTTGGCACCGCACTGCGCGGGCAGCTAAGGTTCTCTGGGCATACACTGCTGTGTGCTGCTGGGCTTCTCTGGTTCCCAACCCCATGCTGCCACCTGCGGACGGAGTTCTCCAGCTCAGTGCTGCTGCAGGCAGCCAAGGTTCCTCAGCTCTGCCAAATTTTATGACCCTGACCCAGCACTTCTGCGTGGCTCCCCCAGCCCTGCTATGCCCCACCCTGGCCAGGTTGCTGGTCTTTCTGCCATTAGGCGCCCAGACTCTCTGGTCCAGAAGCATCCATGATCCTACTGGACCACGAATGTTGCTGGACCAGAGAATGCCAGATTTCAGAAGTGTAACCTGTAGTAACAGAAATGAGGAGGGGAAGTTTTATTGCCAGATCCCAGAGATCTTCAATAAACACGTGTAAAGTAAATGTTAAGAGTCATAAATCATTCCCTGGCAATGTCTCTCTAAATAAAGATTACACAAGATATCCCCATACCAGCAATAGGCAACATGACAAAATATGCTCCACTTCTGTAATCCAATTCTGTGGGTGAAGCCTATTCATTTTAGTGGTGCTCCACAAAGATTCAGAGTTCTATCTGCACAGAAGTCACTATAAGATCTAAACTTTTTTTACCATGAGACCCACAGGAGTACGGACTATTTTTGCATTAATACAACTTCTTTTTTTAATTGTGTGCGCATCATTTATGTTCTCAGATTCTAATCACTGAAGATAAATTACATGCATTTAAAAAAAAAAAAAAAAAAAAAAAAAGCTTTACATTTTCAGATACAGGTTACCCTACACAAAGATACAAGGAAATAATTGCAGATCCAATGGCACGCGTATGAGACACATACAATGGGCTTACTTCATATTCATACTGTACTTCAAATTAATTTAAATTAATGGGGGGGGGGGATTTTAAATTGCTGCCTAGTAGTAATTCATTTTTCCTCAATTTGAACCATTGTGGTTTGGAAAATTTAGCTCAACTTCTATAGGATTTATCCTTTGCTTAGATAAACTGAGGGGGGGAAGACTTTTTAATGTTTTAACATATGCACACCCACAGGAGACACAGGGCACCCACTTTTGTTAACAAAGCTTCAATGTTTATGGATCTCAAACACAGGATTCCATCTATAAGCATGGGTTAAAACTAAAAAAAGGCAACAATGAAATCACACTAGATTATATAAATCTTCAAACCTACACAGGCTTCACCTCAACAACCAAATTTTTTCATCATAACTCATTCACATTATAGCCAGGAGAGCAACAGCCAGAAACAGAATCTAGCCCTATATGTCACTTTATACTTAAGGATTAATGCCACAGTCAGTATAATTGCATCTCATCTACAACCAGCAATTATGTATCACGCCAGTGTACATGCATTTGCTGATTTTTTAAGATGTGTAGTGAAGCATACTCGTAATCTCAGAGGCCAACTGAGTCCCCTAATGAGCAGAATAATGATGCCCATATCAAACACTTGATGCAAGAATAAACTAGTAAAATTACTCAGACTGCACATGTTTTGACCAATGAATCAAATAACCATAGACAGGGAATCAAGATGAATAAGATAAAGAAATTAACCCAGTTACTCAATAAAAGACTCATGTACCAGAAGTTAAGTTTCTTGAATGAATAAACACGTGCCTGCATAATCTCTCCACTGGGGTACTACAGCATACAATGCTCACCACATCATATTGCTATATTCAGACTTTAAAACGTATGATATATTGGCCCAAGTCACAAAATTTGGATCCAAACTTCTCCAAAGTTTGAAGGAAGTATGGAAAGCCAGTGTACTTACTTTAATTCAATTTCTAATGAACCCATATAATAAGATTCTCTAAATTAAGGAATGACATACAAAGTATCCTTTAATATCTCTACATAAGAAAACTATACTGAATCTTCTTAAATTTCATCTCTTTTTTTCCCTTTGTGCTCATAGTGGCCTTTTAACATACTATTCTTTGCTTTTTGTACACTTCCCAAGAGAAAAGGAAAAAACTCAGTACAGCTGCATGGCTATTATGTGACCTCTTCCACATGGGTGGATATTCTTTCCATCACCAGCTAAGAGGAAACAACCCTGTCAAACAGAAGACAAAAGAGTAATGAGGACATAAATGTATAACCCAGCATGTAAAAGGCTGGTAACAAGAAGGTTTCAAAAACAGGGCATCTGGGTGACAAAGTGAAAGTAATCCATGTGGATGGATCAGATGATAACAAGGAATCTTTGAAAACATAAATGACGATGCAACCATGTTATTCCACTTTGTGCCTGGTTACACTCACTGACCTTCTTGTTCAGTCCAGTAATTACTAACCAGATTTACTAATGTATTTAACGTAATCTCTAGGATTGACTGGGGCACAAGTATGTACACACACGCAGAAACTAATTCTATGCAGTCAGTCAATAAACTGGCCTGAATTTGGAGGCCCTCCATTAAGTGTAAGGTGTCTCAAATATGAATAATATACCATTTATTCAAAGCATTTAGAAAAATCTGCCAGAAAAACCCATATGAGAAGCAGAAAAATAAATCAGAAATAATCTTACAAAAGAACAATGTGCTTTAGAACAGATTTTTTTATATATTTACTGTAACCATTCATAGTAAAATGTATATATTAATTTCTACTTCAGTAGACAGGTAGCCATAACAACATGGTCTATTAAAACAGTTGTATAATACATAGGGAACATAGGGAAATTAGTTTTAAAGTCAAGTTCAGTTGCAGTCTATATTCTGTGCATTTTACTTATAAAACTAAAAACCTTAAGCTTAAACCATCCAAGCATATACTATGAGAATGTATTATATCATTGTGTCAGTTATGCACACTTTGACATTCCATTACATTAAAACTGAAATGGAGTTTTTGTCCTTTAATGGTCTTGAAGATTTTTAACAGAGAAACAGTGCCACCTTTTGGCTTGATAGATAGGCCTCCATGTTCTAATTCATAACTTGTTTTTTTTAATAAAGTTGTCCTTTAAAAAGAAGTCTAATTTTTGTGATCTTACTTAAATTTAAATGTGGGAGTCTGATTTTTCCAGCAAAAATATTACTATATGTTAAACAGTTAAAAAAGGGGGGGGGGGGGGGGGGAGGAAAGGCTTCTCTTGAATTAAATATACTCATAAAGCAACATAAATTCAAAGATATGCTGTCTTCACACGCCCCATTAATCCATGTATTTTTATCTACTCTATTCAAATCCATAATTATCATTCAACTGATCACTGTACTTGATTAGAAATCTCAAATACCTTACTGTGTTATATTTTTTTCCTTGCCCATTCTTGTAAAAATCTATATAACACAGTTCTTGACATTTTTCTCCTTTGAAGCAAATGATAATGAACCCTTTGAAGAGCTCTTAAATGTTGAAAATTTACAATAATAATGCATTTGTTGTTCATACTATCTATTTTCTGTATAGTTTCACTACCAACATACATAAATATATCATGGCATTATACATAAAATCTATTACAATGCAAATGGTTCAAGATGGACATAAATATGTAAAGAAATGTATTTGAAATTACTTACACTAATGACACAATGTCTCCACGTTGCACTTCATAGTTCCTAATACTCCAATGGTTTAAGAGCACTACATCAGATACTTGTCTTCCCCCTGGATTCAAGGAAGGCTAAGGAAAGAGGAAAACAGTTTTATGTTAAAAGTAAGAAACTCAACATTCCACCTAAGTCTCCTCAGATCCTGATCCTTTCCCATTTCATCTGTGCACCAAATCCTAATCCTACTCAAATGAATGAAATTTTTTGGCCATTGGCTTTATGGAACCATAATCTAAACCACCACTGAGAAAAGTATGTTCAATGGAGCCTACTTATATTAGGTGCTGATCTAGTTAAACAACATACATTTATAGTAAAAGTACAATATACAACATGAACATTGTTATTCAACTGAAATTCTCCATACTACTATTAGCATACAACAGAAATCAAGAATGTAGCTTATGGACACAAGACAAAAATGGATTTAGGTAAGTATAAGTCACATCAACAAGAATGAAGATCATGCACAGACAACACAGAGAGCAGTATAAGAACGGGCCATAAAACAGTCATTTAAGATACGTCAGCTACTACTAAAGATGATTTCATTTTTAATTGCAAGTTTAAACTCCCAGGACCAAATTTTCACTGGTGCATATCGGCACAACTCCAATGCAAGTCAATTAACTTGGCCATAACGTTTAGAAATGCCAAGTATAAACATAGCTATTTAGCAAACTGTATGTTCAGTAATCACCAGTTAAGGAAAATCAGTTTATTACAACTATATTTCAGTGGACAACCAATTTTTTAAAATGTTATTTCCCACTTATAATAAAATAAAATAATAATAAATAAATAATAATAATACATTCAATTTATACAGTGTCTTTCATCAAAGAATTGATATATTTACATAGCTTTTTCTTTGCAAATGATTAACAAATTAGATTGATGCCACTGAAATTCAAGCATCTCTGGACAGGGGGGTAGCAACCAATGAATTCATAACATCCTGCATGATGGTGAGGAGAAAAGACACTGAAGCAATGACAAAAACACAAACCCCTAATCAAATTAAAGTGCCATAGAATTTCTGATGTCTTGTGTAGAATGGACAGTCTTTTTTAAAATGTCCTTTTACAAGAGGGGCCTCTGAACTTTATTGGGAATGTTCCAGTGGGGAAGATCCTGTGTGCTGCAGTCTAGCCTCAGAGACTACAACTCTCAGGATGCCTTGTGTAAAAGAAGGGAGGCAAGAGGATTCAGGTTGCTCATGTGGCGCTCCATCCATACCATGAGCTGCTGCTAGGAAACCAAAAGATGCTGTAGTTCGGATAGAGCGGGAAGCTTCAAAAGTGGTTGACAGCTTCACTGGAGCCAAGGGAGAGACTACTGCGGTGCCTATACTCTAGAGCTGACTGAGGTGGGTCTTCAGTGTAGGAACTGAGTAACCCGCACTCTTGTTTAGGAAAGTACCTGCAAGGGAAGGAGCATAGCAGAGAAATTGTCTGAAGAGAAGCTAAGTGATCTTCCCGTCGAACCAGGAGCCAGAGGTGCTGACATTTGGTGAAGCCAACTGCAGTCTTCAGAGACTGTGCAGCATGTTACCTTGGCTGGGTTGCTGGTCTGATGTACAAAACCAACACAGTGTTTCTCCATCTTCAAATTTTCAATCACTGCCATGCAAGCACCTAAGACTCTGAAATCTGGAGGTGGGTGGAGTAAATGGGGGCAATGTAAATGCCAGTTAGATATATTTAATGTATTACTGTATACTATATTTGTTAATTGATTTTATTCAACTGCCTGGTGGATTTAAATTAGTAGTGACATGTAATCTCAGTCAGTTATACTGTTTCTTTAAGACGTTTAGTAAAGGTGTGTTAACACTATCAAAGTATATTGGATGTTTATTATTTATAATTGTATTTTTGAGTTAGATCTATGCCACTTATTCTAGTATTCTTAAGAATTAATAAGTTTTTTGCTTGAGGTTCCCAAGGCATGCCATTGAATGCATACAGAAGTCAGCCAGATGGAAGCTCGAACAGTTTCAAATTCCTTAAAGCGAGTGCATCAGAGGGAAAGATTCCCACAATGCACTGCCAGGTACTCATCTACCTAAGGGTTAGTCTATATGGAGACTTAGTGCACAGAAAAAAAAAAGTCTAAATCTGCAGCACACTGGCCTAATGTGCACTAAGTCACCATGTGGATCCTGCTGCCATGCATTAAAAGTTCAAAGTGCCCTTTGACATACTATGTTTGAAACATTTACACCCTAGTTTGCCACACACTAACACTTTGTCTAAACTATAGCTGTACCAATGAAGCTACATCACAGTAAGATCTCTTGCATAAATGTAGCCTTGTAGGTAATAAGTTAGTTAGTTATAATGAATGTATGTTATACTACAGTTTTGTTAAAAGCATTTGCGGAAAAGAGCATCTAGATTGGCACGGATGCTTCTCCGCAAAAGTGCTTTTTGCGGAAAAGCGTCTGTGCCAATCTAGACGCGGTTTTGCGCAAGAAAGCCCTGATCGCCATTTTCGCGATCGGGGCTTTTTTGCGCAAAACAATACCGCGTTGTCTACACTGGCCCTCTTGCTCAAAAGCATTTGCGCAAGAGAGCTTTTGCCCAAACGGGAGCAGCATAGTATTTCCGCAAGAACACTGACAATCTTACATGAGATTGTCAGTGTTCTTGTGGATATTCAAGCAGCCAGTGTAGACACCTGGCAAGTTTTTCTACAAAATCAGTTGCTTTTGCAGAAAAACTTGCCAGTCTAGACGCAGCCAAGATGTAGGCCTCACATAGGCATAAAGCAGTTTGTTAACTTACGTCCAGTTCTGTTTGATGTTAGCACATTCTGATGTTAATGTGAAACAATGGAATATTGTAATGCATAGTGATGTCGGTATTATGTAAAGCCTTGTAAAAGACAGAAAGAAGTTTAATGGTGAAAGATTCTGTAACTCTGTTAAAGTGAAGTACCTTTTGCTCGATGCTACAATTATGTAAATGTATTGTTTGGGTGAATAAGACAGAGAATGTTTTAGGAGAGATAAGTGTGAAGGCCACTGCATGCCCAGATAGTCAGAGGAGTGACCGGAGACTCTGAGGCACCAAATAATTATTGACTAAAGCACACTGAAGATGCAGACTGGAGCGGGGTAGACTGATGAACCCTGAAGTTAGTGGCAAGCACCCCTTAGTAGGAAACGGATAACACGTTTCGCCAGAAAACAACATTCAGGAATATACGGATATCAGATGACTGTAACAACAACAACTTCCAGATAAACATATGTTGCAGAAAGTCTGATTGTGATGCTGAGTGACTGATTAAGGCTAAGGATGTTAACTATCGATTAATTTACCAGTAGATTATTCAATAGGCAATTCCATATTCCTCCTTTGAAATGTACGAGCCCCAGTGGGGGCTCTTGTGCATTTCAAAGTGGCAGCACATGCATGGAACCGAGGGGTAGCAGAGGACTCAAGAGTCCCCCACTGACCCCGGGCTCCATGCTGCGCTGCGGCTTTGAAATGCTGCACATTTCCCCAGAATCCGAGGTCAGCTGGAGAGTCCCCAGGTCAGCCCAGGCTTCACAGTACCTCTCTGAAACACTGCCTCGGCATTTCAAAGGAGCTGCACCACAAGGCTGAGCCGGAGATCAGCTGTGTGGCACTGTTCTTTAAATTCTGCTTCTGCATTTCAAAGGGGCAGCCCTGCACAGCTGAGCCCAGTCCAGTTATTCCTCTTCACAAGCAGGAGTTATTTCAAAATAAGCCCATTATTTCAAAATAACAGGCTTGGTAGTGTGGATGCTCACCTTATTATTTCAAAATATGGGGAGTTGTGTAGTAGAGATGCCTTCAGAGGATGTTTTTCCACCCTGCTGAGTGACAGAAGTTTTGCTGACATAAATGGTTGGCATGTAACATAGCCTTATGTAATATAGCCTAAGACAAGTCTTCATGTGGAGAAACACAAAAGGGCTGGAGGATGGATTCAGTGCAGCTGGAATTTGAAACCTTGGCTCCAAAAGTAGATACATTTCACACCTTATGCTGAGACAGCTTTCAAAAGACTGTCAGCATTCATCAGAAATCACAAAACCTTGTTTCTGTGAGCTAAGTAAGCATTATCTTCATTTTACAGATGGCAATTCTAATGCATGGAAACGTAAACTGATCCACCCAAGGACAAATAGCAAGTTAGTAACATAGTTGCAGCCTACCAGTTGCAGCCCTGTTTTCTGTTCTGAAGATTAGTGACAATATACACATATTTAAATACGTGCAGATATATTAAAATCATTATATTCCACAGCATTGTAAACTTTATGCAGAGTCTAAAAAGGATACTGTTTTAAAAATGTACTACTGACATGGTTTGTTTAGATCAGTGGTCCCTGCCATGGCGCCCACCAGGCCATTTCTGTGCACCCACCAAGTGATCGGGGCTGGCCCCGCCTCTGGGCGCGCGGTGCAAGGGTTGTGCTGTCCCCTGGGCATGTGACGTATGGGCAGCACCGGCCCCGGGCGCACAGCACGTGGGCAGCCCCACCCCCATGTGCACGGGCTGTGCCGGCCCCAGGCACGTGGCTCAGGAGCAGCGCCGGCCCCGGGCACGCAGCGCATGGGCACTGGCGGTTCCAGGGCGCATGGCTCAGGAGCGGCGCCGGCCCCAGACACGCAGTGCATGGGCAGTGGTAGCCCCGCCCTCGGGTGCAAGGCACATGGGCTGTTCCGGCCCCGGGCACGCAGCGTATGAGTGGCGCCAGCCCCAGGCGGGTGGCGTATGGGCAGCCCCACCATAGGCTTGTGGCACAGGAGCAGTTGTCGCCCCGGGAGCGTGGCACATGGGTGGTGCCGGCACCGGGCGCACAGCATATGGGTGGCCCCGCCCCCGGGCGCATGTGCAGCCCCGCCCCTAGTGCATGTGTGGCCCTGCCCCGGGTGCCCAGCGCATGAGCAGCCCCGCCCCCGGGCACCCAGCAGCCCCAAAAGGTTGGGGACCACTGGTTTAGATGCAAAGACTTGGTGCCCAATTCGTTATTAGATGTTTTAATATTTACATCCAAGGGATAGGCTCAAATTTAGGATAACTTCCTTTT